GGAACCCGAGTTATCCCTGACCCGAGTTACCCCTGATGATTCGGGGCTCTGGACGCCCGAGTTATCCGGGGTGACCCGAGTTATCCGGGGTAACTCGGGTTCGGATTCCCGAGAAAGGAACCCGAGTTATCCCTGACCCGAGTTACCCCTGATGATTCGGGGCTCTGACCCGAAGACCAACACCGCCAAAGTGCGCCCTGAGGCATCCTGAGGAGCCCCCGAGAGCCTCCGAGGCGACCCCGAAGGCGGTGCCAGAGGAGGCCCTAGGAAGCGCACCAGGGGCCCCAAGAGAGATCCCAAGAGGCACCCAACAAGCCCCCATGTCGGGCGTTGGTAGTTTAAACAAGGGCTCCTAAGTTCGCGCTTCGCGCTGCGCGAAGCGCGAAGCGCGAATAACTTCGCGCTCTCGCGCCGCCCCCCAAGGGGGAGAAGAGGAGGACGAGGAGGAGGGGGAGGAGGAAGGAGGACGGCGAAGCGCGAAGCGCGAATAACTTCGCGCCCTCCTGGGAGCCCTTGTTTAAAGGAACCTGGTTTAGTGATCCGTGCCGGGGGCGTCCCCCCCGTCCCAGTTCCACTCACCGGAACTGCCGTCACCCGAAAACACACCGGCTATGGCAGACCTGGCTAAATGCTTCTGGCCAGCTCGAAGGCTCCGGGGCCCTACCACTAACCGGGTCCCCTTACCTTAACGGGCGAAGAGCGGTATAAAAACTTTTTCGCTGTCGGGGGCGCCTGTCCCAGGGCGGCTGGAAAGTTCATACCCCTACGGTGGCACCGTAGGGGTACAAACTTTCCAGCCGCCCAGGGACAGGCGCCCCCGACAGCGAAACAGTTTATTTCATACCGCTCTTCGCTCGCTGATTACCCAGGGTCCTGGCCATACCCGACCATGGCCTTCCAGAGGCTCCTCCCCCTCCTGCTCCTCCCCTCCTCCTCCTCCTCCTCCTCCTCCTCTCCTCCTCCTCCTCCTCCTCCTCCTCCTCCTCCTCCTCCTCCCCCTCCTCCCCCTCCTCCTCCATACCCGACCATGGCCTTCCAGAGGCCCGAGGTGTCGAGCGGGACTGGCTCCCTCGAACATAGCCTATAGCCGCCGGCCGGCATGCCGCGCTGGCACGGCGGCGGGGCCGTGCCGCAGGCCGCCGGACCAATGACAGGCCGGGCGTCCGTGCGGCGCGCACCGCGCCCGCCGGCGTGCTCCTCCTCCCGCGTCCCTGTCCTGCTCCATCTCCAGGCCCCCCCCCCCTCCTTGTCGCCTCCTGCTCCCTGCCACCTCCATGCTCCTGGTCCTCCTCCCCCGTCCTTCTCGTCCTCATCGTCCTCGTCCTCACCGTCCTCATCGTCCTCGTCCTCATCGTCGCCGTCGTCCTCGTCGAGCTCCCCGTCCTCGTCATCGTCGTCCTCATCGTCGTCGTCCTCCTCGTCCTCATCGAGCTCTCCGTCGCTCTCGCCCTCGTCGTCCTCGTCCTTCTCCTCGCTGGCCAAAGGGGGGCACCACGCTGCCCGGCAGCCTTGGCGGACGAGCCGCGGAGACGTACAAGAGCTGCTCCGACAGGGGGGCGCTTGCACCGCGGCGCGGAGGCCCTGGGAACTAACTTTCTGTCGGGCCTGTCCCCCTGCAGGGGGATTTTCGACGAGAAATGAAAAATACCCCCCAAACTCCAAAAAGGTCAAAAAAGTTAAGAATAAAAAATACCCCAAAAGAGACCCTGGGAACTAACTTTATGTCGGGCCTGTCCCCCTACAGGGGGATTTTCGACGAGGAATAAGAAATACCCCCAAAATGCACCAAAACGGTAAAAAATACGCAACACATAGTCCCCAGACTGTTTTTGCACAATTTTTGGACCATCTGTGGGGTATGTTTTATCTTCCGTCGAAGATCCCCCTGTAGGGGGACAGGCCTGACGTTAAACCAACTCCAGATCCCGGACCCTGGACAGCCCCCCGGACACAGCGGTGGCTGGCTGGCCAGGGCGCGAGCACCCTTCCCCAGCAGGCACGGGGCCAGCGCTCGCGGAGCCGCAGACCATGCCCGAGCGGGCGCGTGGCCGGCGCTCAAGGCGACGGCACCACTCGCCCAATCGGGGGGCCGGCCGGCGCCCGAGCGGCAGCAGCAGGCCCCGTCGGACACCGAGGCCTCCGCCGAGGCCGGAGCACACCGTGCCCAGTCGGGCGTGTGGCCAGTGTTAAGTCGGGCCTGTCCCCCTGCAGCGGGATTTTCGACGAAAAATAAGACATACCCCCAAAATAATCAAAAGCTAGTCCAGAAATAGGTTGGGGACTATGTTTTGAATATTGTTAGACCTTTTGGGGGTATTTTTGGGGCATTCTTTATTTGTCGTCGAAAATCCCCCTGTAGGGGGACACGCCCGACATAATCCCAGGGGCCTCGGACATGGGCTGGCCTGAAGTCGGACCTGCTCCTCTGCAGTCGGGGGCGGCAAAGAGGGGGGTGACGACCAGGGGGAGGGGATCTCATGGCGGGGGCCAGGACATTTCCCCAGATTTCATGGCGCCTCTGCTTGCTTCATTCGGGGATGGACAGACCTCCCTTTAGTAAAGCGTGGTTTAGTGAAAACGACCTGAGGCCCAAACCTGGCGGGCGCAAGCCTGGAAAATAACGGCCACGGCGCCCTCTCGAGAACCGAAAACGGACGATTCACTAATCGACGTGTCACTGTTGGGGGTTCTGTCCAGCCCCGATTCATTGCGTCCCCTGTAGGGGCACACGCCCGACATAGGGCCGGTGCTCGGGCGGCAGCAGCGCCCCAGACCGAGAGAGCGCGCGGCAGCTCGGGAAGCCGCTCCGGGCCCCCCCCGTGGGGGGCTGCTCTCCTGCCGCACCTCCCGACCCCCCCCCCCGTCATGCGAAGTCGGGCCTGTCCCCCGACAGGGGGACTTTCGACGAAGAATAAAAGGTGCCCCCAAAATGCATCAACGAGGCCAAAAAATACCCCAAAGATAGTCTGGGGGTTACTTTTGGACCATTGTTTGGCTACTTCTGGGGTGTTTGTTTTCATTCTTCGTCGAGAGGTCCCCCTGTAGGGGGACAGGTGCACGGTTTCCCCCGGGGCCGTAGGCAACCCGAGGAGGAGGAGGAGGAGGAGGAGGAGGAGGAGGAGGAGGAGGAGGAGGGAGGAGGGAGAGGGAGGAGGGAGGAGGGAGGGAGGAGGAGAGGAGGAGGAGGAGGAGGAGGAGGAGGAGGAGGAGGAGGAGGAGGAGGAGGAGGAGGAGGAGGAGGAGGGCGGAGGAGGAGGAGGAGGAGGAGGGGATGGAGGAGGGAGGAGGGAGGAGGGAAGGAGGAGGAGGAGGAAGGAGGAGGAGGAGGAGGGGAGGAGGAGGAGGAGGAGGAGGAGGAGGGGAGGGAGGGGAGGAGGAGGAGGAGGAGGAGGGAGGAGGGAGGAGGAGGGATGAGGAGGGGAGGAGGAGGAGGGAGGAGGAGGAGGAAGGAGGAGGAGGAGGGAGGGAGGAGGAGGAGGAGGAGGACGAGGAGGAGGAGGAGGAGGAGGAGGAGGAGGAGGAGGAGGGCGGGTCGCCTAAGCCCTTCGGAGAAACCCTCCAGGGACAGGCCCGACTTAACCCTCGTGACTCCTGCCTCCCCCTGCTGCCGCCCGCTCGCAGAGGCCTCCCATGGATGGGGCCCGAGCAGGATGGGGTCGCAGGACCGCGCCGCACCGCCAATGCTGAAGGGGCCCCAGGGCACACAAATAAATACACACAAATAAAACAAATCCCCATATTTTCCCATATTATTTTCTGGGTTTCTGTCTTCCCCCCCCCCCACTGCCCATATTTTCCCATATTTTTGAGAGAATCGACGATTAATTGTGTCTGTGTGTTTCTTTTCCCTCCTGAAATGCATCGGCAACGCCGGCGTGGAGCAAATCGGGCCCCGCATCGAGCCGCATCGCCGATGCATCGCCGATGCATCGCCCCCGCGGCGCGGCCCTCCGACTCCATCCGCTCGGAGCCCATCCAGGAGGCCCAGGGCTCACGAGCGAGGAGTTGGCGGGGACACTGAAAGGGCACCGACGCCGCTGCTCCCCGGACCTCTCCTGGGGTGCGTTCTGACCAGGATTTCGAGGCGAATCCAGCGGAGGCGACGACGGAGGCCCAGGAGGCCCCAACAGGGGAAAACGATGGGAGGGTAGAGGTATGTCGGTCCGGGCGAAAGGGGGGGATAGCAAAGGGGGGGCTTGAGAATCAGCTTCGGGGATCTTCTGACCCGGGTCAATCCAGACCCGGGTCAGCAGGAAACCAAAAACTGCAATGCAGGAAAAAAAAACTGCAACGCAGGTCCTCCCAAACCCGGGTCAGCCAATAGGCGCGGCCGCCTCGCGGCCACGAGCGGCTCCCTGACCCGGGTCAGCCAGAGGGGGCCTTCGCAGGATCCTGCAGGATCTGGCGCCCTGGCTGACCCCCGTTTGCACTGACCCCCGTCTCGAGGCTCCCGACAGCTCACGTAGCTGATTTTCCCGGCGCCTCCCGGCGCCGGAGGTGGCCATGCATCGAGGAATGGGCCCGGCGGCGGGGCCGAAACCAGCTGCATGCAGCAGAGTTCGTGAACCCCCATTTCCCTCTCCCCCCCCCCCTTTCGTTCGGCCCGAGCATGGGCACCTCTTCCTCCTTCGGGAGCGGCCAAGAGGGGGGTGTCCAAGAGGGGGGGGCGCAAATCATGACCGGCGGCATGTGCGCGGCCCAGCGGGGAGGCCAGGGACGTGATGAAACCAGAAGCGGCGCCACGAGATCTGGGGAGATATCATGGCCCGCGCCATGATATCCACCCCCCCCCTAGTCATCACCCCCCTCTGCGGGCGGCTCGGGGCGCGGTGGGCCTCGGGCTGGCGGCGCCCGCACCCGCCGGGGGCGCGGCGAGGAGGAGGAGGAGGAGGAGGAGGAGGAGGAGGAGGAGGAGGAGGAGGAGGAGGAGGAATATGGGCACCTCTTCCTCCTCTGAAAGGGGGCGCCCGCCCGGGCTCCGCGTGATCTTGGGGGATGGTGGCCTCGATGAGGGTGATCTGCAGCAGGCCGCAGGCGGGCCTGTCGCCGCCCACCCCCCCCCGCTGCGGCCGGGCACGCCACCGTCCCCGCTGGCCTCGGGGAGGAGGAGGAGGAGGAGGAGGAGGAGGAGGAGGAGGAGGAGGAGGAGAAGGAGGAGAAGGAGGAGGAGGAGGAGGAGGATTGATCTGTTTCTTTTGTTCCGCCACCGCGTCAGGAGCACAGCACTGACAACAACTACTACTGTCGATTGAACCACACAGGCGGTGTAGGTGAGACAGGTCCACGGCTTCTTCGGATGGGGTGCAAGCAAAGAAAGACACCTCCGTGGTTGCGATTGCGACGTGATCCACGCATCGAGAATATTCGGGGATGGACAGGCCCCCCTTTAGTAAAACGTGGTTCAGTGAAAACGACCTGAGGCCCAAGCCTGGCGGGCGCAAGCCTGGCAAAGTGACGGCCACGGCGCCCTCTCGAGAACCGAAAACGGACAATTCACGAATCGACGTGTCACTGTTGGGGTTTCTGCCCACCCCCGAAATCTGTTGACACCTTGGGATGACCTCCTCTCGGGTCGGGCGAAAGGGGGGGATAGCAAAGGGGGGGGGTTGAGAATCAGCTCGCGTAGCTGATTTTCCCGGCGCCTCCCGGCGCCAGAAACAGCCACGTATCGAGGAATTGGCCCCTCGGTGGGGCCGAAACCATCTGCATGCAGCAGATTTCGTAACCCCCCTCTTTCCCAATCCCCCCCTTCCGTCGGGCCCGATCCTCTGCGGGCCCTGCCCGGGCCGCAGCCGCGCGGACCCCAGGGCGCCGCGCTGGCCCCGCGGGCGGCCGGCGGGCGACGCGCGCCCGCCGCTGCCGCGACCGCGGCCGCGGGCAAACTGCGCGCGTCACTCCGTCGTGCCGGCGCCGGCGGGGACGGGCACGCCCTCCGCCTCGTCGTCGCTGCCGGTCTGCGTCAACTCGAACACGCGCGGGGCGGGGGGCTCCGGCCGGAACGTGAGGACCACGCAGGTGTAGATCATCCAGGTCCGCAGCTCGACCACCAACCAATGAAGCCACATGGCGTCCCACGGCACCACCGTGACCTTCAGGAAGAGCTCCACGGTTGGTGAGATGATGAACGCCAAGAATACCCAACGGAAGACCTGGTAAGCGTGGTGTTTCCTGTACAACTTCCCGGAGTCCATGCTCGCGGTGGAGTCGCTGATCTGCGCGGCGATCATCTGCAGGTTGAAGTTCATCGCGACTATCACCACGAGGTAACACAACGCGTGCAAGATGTAGCGGCTGAGCGTGTAGCCGCTACACGTGGACTGCGTTGTGCACGCGACCTCGAAGACGCCGAGGTAGAAAGAGATCACCGAGATGCCGCCCGCGAATCTCATCTCGGTGATGTTCAGGCTGCCGCGGAGGAGCTTCCACCCGAGGGCGATCAGCAGAAACATCATGAGTTCCATGATGGTCTGAACCTTCTCGAGCAGCTGCCAGCTCAGCTGGCCCACGGTGGAGTCGTAGCCCAGGCGCGACACCTGCACCCTGTTGCTCCACTTGAGCAGCAGGACGAGGCCTTTCAATAACAATACTGACGCTATCACCACGTGCATCGCGTTGCGCCCCCTGCGCGTGGCGGTGGCGAGCAGACCGGCGAAGAGCAGACAGCTCCCGAAGAACAGCGCCGAAGTCCACAGCAACACCTCGGGCACCTTCCTCCACTGCAGCACCAGCTGCTCGCCGCCTGGGTTCAGCAGGCTGACGGTCCCCGACAGCTTCAGCAGCCTCCGGCGCGTGTTCATGACCAACACCAAGTAGCGGTCCTTGGTTGGAGCGTCGATCTTGAAGGACGCCTGCAACCTGTCGTACAGGACGCCGCGCCAATGACTCACCAAATCCCACCAGCCCTCTGGGCGTAGGTGGTTTAGAGAGTTTCCTCTTCCACCCCTCCTTCTTCCCCTTCGGGGAGGGGTTTACCCCTCCCCCTACCCCCTCCCCTGGACCTGGACGGGGGGCGCGGCGACGCGTTGGAGCGCCCAAGATGGCCCAACACGGCTCCAAGAGCGCCTCGGAAAGCCCAAGATGATCTCCAAGATGGCTCAAGATGGGCCAAGCTGCATGAAGATGGCTCTGAAGATGCTCCAAGAGGCCCCAAGACCGCTCCAAGACGGCTCCAAGAGGCTAAATAGCTCCCCACGGAGTCCTCCAAGAGGCTAAAACCCTTCAAAAACCTAAGGAAAACCAATGATTGTTGCCTTCTCGCCTTTTCGCTTCCGATGGCCGTCCAAGGCCTCAAGATGGCTCCAAGAGGGGCCAAGGAGGCCCCAAGAGGGGCCCAAGAGAGCCCCAAGACGGCCCCAAGAGCGCCCAAGAGCGCTCCAAGAGCGCCCTAAGAGGGGTCCAAGAGGCGATTTTAGAGCCTCCAAGATGGCCCCAAGAGGCGCTCAGGAGGCCCCAAGAGGCGCCAAGATGGTCCCAAGAGGCCTCCAAGAGGCCTCCAAGAGGCCCCCCCGACGCATTCAAGACGCCAAAGAGCCCCCCAGGACCGCCAAGAGACCCCCCAGACGTCCCAAAAAGCATCCAAGAAGCGCCCAAGAGACTTTCCCAAGAGGCTCCGAAAGGCATTCAAGAGACCTTCCCTTCTTCCGTCAGCTCCCCTACGCATCGATTGTGGATGGGCTGGTGGGGATACGCGTAGCGTCTAGAATAGCTATTCGGGTTGGTCTTGAGGGGCGTGCCGTACATCTCGTGAGTCTGCTGCTCCTGCACCTGCGACTGCCACCACGGCCTCCACAACACATACTGCGTCTGGGTGAGAACCATGACGTAAACGTCGTCGGCAGGCTGCTCGTTCACGAGGTCTATGGCGATCGTCGCGTTGGGGGCCAGCCCGTTGCCCATGAGCCCCTCCTCGTGGGCCAGGAAGGTCCACTGGCCGTGGGTCTCGAAGCTGACGTTGTACACCATCGCCCCCCCGCGCCGCGGCAGCACGGCCCACGCCGCGAGCCACCTCGTCCTCGTCCTCCTCCTCCTCCCCCTCCATGTCCTCCTTGTCCTCCTCCTCCTCCTCCTCCTCCTCCTCCTCCTCCTCGTGCTCCTCCTCCTCCTCCTCCTCCTCCTCCTCCTCCTCCTCCTCCTCCTCCTCCTCCTCCCCCTCGTCGTCGTCCTCGCCGGCCACCTGCGTCGCCGCGCCCCCGGCGGGTGCGGGCGCCGCCAGCCCGAGGCCCACCGCGCCCCGAGCCGCCCGCAGAGCCTGCCGCAGGAGGCGCCGTCGGCCGCAGCGGCAGGCGGCTGGCCCTCTGGGGCGCCGCCGCGGCGCGGCTGCCGCGGCGGCGCCGACGGCGACGCTGCCATCGGGCGCAGGGGAGCAAAGGGGAGGAGGGAAAGGACGAGGAGGAGGGAGGGGGACGAGGGAGGAGGGGCACGGCGCAAGGGCGGGCGCGCGCCCGGCGGCACGCCCCTGAGCCAAAACGGCTACGGAGGAGGAGGAGGAGGATTGATTGAGTACTGCGTTCGCCGACTGGTGCGGAAGCCAAGACAGGGAGCCCCCGCCCCCGCTGCGGCCACACGCGCCACGCACACCCTCGCCGCCCTCGAGGAGAGTGGGGGGGAGGCGAGGAGGTGGAGCATCGATTGAACACCTCGCTCAACACCTCGCTCGGCGAAGACGAGGAGGGAGGGAACACGCCTGGAGTGGCCCGAGATATGCGGGGAGATGGGCAAGGGAGGGGAGGAGGGGTAGGATGAAGGAGGAGGGGCGAGCGCTGGGCCCAAGGCATTCCCCTTTCGGCTACCGTACGCCCTCGTCGAGTTCGCTGTCCTCGTCGTCCTCGTCGTCATCCTCTCCCCCCACACTCCCCACCCTCCTCGACCATCTTCTTGTTCCTGGCCCCCATCCTCCTGACCTCATCGCCCCCCGCCTCCCTCCCAGCCAACCTCCTCCTTGCCGCCCTCCTCCTCTTCCTTCTTGGGGAGACTGTCATGGTGAGGCGAGCAGAGGTGGCTGTCACTAGGCGTGTGGACTGCACACGCCTATCACCAAGTCTCTCTGGACCCGAACCCTGGAGGAGGCCTCATGAGCTGTCTTCGGACGACCTTGCAGGCATCTGGCGCCGTCTTCGAGCCATCTGAGGGCATCTTGGACTCCTCTACCTCCATTGTCTTCGTCGTCGCTGCCTACAGGGTCGGCGGCATCTGCTGTAAGGCCTTCGCAGTTTGAGGTACAGGGCGGGCGCGGCCGCAAGAAACCCTCGCAAGAAACCCAGCCCTGAGAACCCGTGCGCGAGGTGCACCTGAGGGAAACCTGGAGCACCCTGAACGCAGCAGCTCCTTCAACGGCCGCGGGAAGTCGCCGCGCAGCGCGGAGAAGCGAAGAAACCCAGGATACCCTGACGAAAAGCACATGGTTTCTTCATGCGCGCCCCCACTGTACGGCGTAGATCTCTGAGGGCACCGTGGCACCCGCGGCTCTGGGCACAGGACCTCCTGGGATGGACCGACGGCGGCCGCGTCGGTCCAGCGGCGTCCGTGAGCCCATGGGCGCAGGACCCCGAAGCCCGGGACTGAATCCCCGGACCCACGACGTGTGAAGCGCGGGCAGTATTTATATCCATATCCAGTGCGTCTTGGACTTTCTTGGAAGGGGCGCCGCAAGGCCGAGGCACACCACCATCTGCCTAAGGCAGGACTTCCCCGTTTTCACAGGCACCGGCTGACAAGGATGGGAGAGCCCCAGGGCCCCAGCCGACATACAAAGGGCTGCGCACTTCAATGGGCATCAGACCTACGCTACAATCCTCCTCCTCCTCCTCCTCCTCCTCCTACTACTACTACTACCACTACTACCACTACTACTACGACTACTACCACTACTGCTACTACTACTACTACTACTACTACCACTACTGCTACTACTACTACTACTACTACTACCACTACTACTACTACTACTACTACTACTACTACTACTACTACTACTACTACTACTACTACTACTACTACTACT